AACTGACTCTGTTTCTCGGTTGTATGTGTATTAACCGAGGGACCGACGATATACGTGCAATATATGCATGCTTTATATTTTTACAATACTTTTCAGTTCCGATTCTTGGTATTTATATTTTTGTTCTTTATTTTGTATAATCACGACAAGATATTTGATTAGAAGTGATGAGTAGCTTAAATTATTTGAGTGGACGTGTGAAGATGATTGATTGATATTATTTAATTATATTAATAATATTGAGATAAATTGATGTTGAGTTAAATTTAAATTAAATTTGAATTGTGATTAAAAAAATTGAAGCACAACTTATATCCAAGCACTACCCCAGTCTATATGTATCTCAATAGTTTATGGCTGCAAACCTGATTTGACTTTTGTCGAAGACAGTTAAACTAAGTGGGTCTCATCAAATAAAACCTAAAAAACTAAAGAGGTGGGGCATAGACAAATGACGGCTTTGTAATAGTCTACACATTTCACTATTATTGCTCTATAAAAAAAAAACACAAACTCATAAACAAGTGAATTATTATTACTATTATTATTTTCCAAGAGTCAATTCCGAATAAACCATTAAACACAAATAATGGATATAGAATAAATAAAATTGAGCCAACATCAAATGGAAGAAATAAACAAATAAATAAAAATGTGAGAGAGCAAAATGAAATAGGGACCTGGGAGAAGGTCCAACGAGGACGAGCCTGGTGAAGAGGTCTGGCCTTTTAATGGACGCGATGCACCCGATCATACCCGACATGGAGTGACCAACGAATACACACGACCCAATTTTCATCTCGTCGAGTAAACCAATCAAATCCTCCGCAAAACCCTCGTACTTACTGTGCCTGCGCTTTTTCGAGTGCAGCATTAGAGTAATTTGAGGCAAAACCGGCAAAATTTTCCAACAACTTTTACATCGAGTTTTCAATTATCGCGTTATATAAAATATGCCAAGTAATTTGAGATAGGCGTCAGATTTGCCTGATTACTTTTGCGGGCCGAACCGACCCATCAAACAGGCCCAGTTAGGCCCGTTAACCGTTGGCCATCCCGTGGTTTTACCTAGGCCGGTTCAGGTTCGTGATTTTTGACAATTTGAACTGCCGGTTCCAATTCGGTGATTTTTTTTATTATTTATTATGTCTTTTATTTATTGGTTCGGCCTAGAATCGGGTGGCCGATTATGAACCGGCCTGTATATATTATCGGGCCAGTTCAAGACTCCAAAAACGCGGCCCAAACTGGATTTGGCCATGACTATTGTCATCTGCTCCAAATTATTCAACGTATTTAGCCATTTCGATATACAAAATAAGATCTAAATACAATAAGCTCACCTGATGGGGTCATAGAGGGTCGAGTTGTGGTCAACGGCGCCGGAAAAACACCAGTCAAAGACGAGAACACAGTGGTTGGCAGCCAACGGCGGCAAGACTTTGTCCCAAACCGACTGGTCACCACCGTAGCCATGTGCCAGAACTATGGTTAGGTTACCTGAACCCAAGGTTTGGGCGTTCATGGCTGTTGCCAAACCCTTTCTCATCACCATTAATAATGTTTTTTTTTGTTTTTTTGGTTTTTGTTTTTGTTTTTTTTTGGTGTGTGTGTACCTGACAAAAATAGGAGACAAGAGTAGCTATTATATATGTGAGCCTGTGTATGTGCCCCTGGACTCTTTGACTCTGTGTATGTATTTCTATACCACAAAAATTAGATTAGAAAATTGTTTTTCATGTGGATTACAAGAATTATGTGGATTCAGTAAATTAGATTCAGTATATGTCATTTTTTTTTAATTATTTCGTGTAGATAGTGAAATGTACGCATTGATATTACTATGGGTATAACTAGAGTGAGTCCATATCCTTGTGACCAATCAATTCTATTTATTCTCAAATGATTTGTAGGTAAAGAGGTAAGAGTAGGGAAAAGAAATTTAGTATGGAGTGATGAGGGTGGATTTTTTTATCGTTGGATCAACACATACTTTTGTAAGTATGTACGGAATCAGGTGAATTGAAGGTGGCTATTAATAGTTGCGGTATACACGAAATCACCATCGACATTCTTGAACGCTCTCATAGCCTCACGCATATCATACTGCTCAGTTCTCGACTCCACTCAAGTTCGTCAGAGCTCAAAAGTTGTTGTGCTACAGTCATAGAGACGTCAGCCGTTGTATCTTTGGGGACGAGACGTCTGAACCGTCAACACATTACGTGGCGTATTCGTCTTGTAGAAAGAGCAACCTCGCCTCGACTTTTTTTTTTTTTTTTTTTTTTTTTTTTTTTTTTTTCGAAACGATAGGAGATATATATTATAAACAACAAGAAAAGCATAGTTTTGAGCCAAAGGCTCATACAATCAGAAGGAGGCAACACTCCTTGATAAATAACCACACCTACAGCAAAGATTTCCTTTGAATCCTCAAGTGAAGACCAAAATAAGCCTAGGGATGTCTTCTATAACTATAAAGACAACCGGCACCAAAATTAGCATGCCACTGAACCCTTAAGGACCTAGCAGGCTAACAAAAACCTAGAAGAAGAAAACACTATGTACAGAACCAGGAAAGAAGAAAGAAACATAACCTACATTATTACAGACAATGAAGAAAATTCCATCCAATCATAAACAACCAACTTGATTGTGTGGATTTCAGTCCTCCATGTTTGACCCATAGGTTTCTCGTTTTCCACATCCACCAGAGTAGATATGTGGAAAGTTGCAGCCTATCTTCAGATATTTTGTTATGGCTAATCGAGCATAACCTCAGCCACCACTGTTTGAAACTACCTCTGTCAGCTTGCAGCCCATCCCATAAGACTGGGGTTAACATCCATATAATCTGAGCTCTGGTACAGGTAAAGAACAAATGCTCCATGGTCTCCACAGCTTCACCACAAAACTTGCAGGTTGTATCCGCAGGTATTTTCTTTGAATGAAGATTTGCTATGACTGGTAATATGTTGTTAAGACACTTCCAAATGAAATGTCTTATTTTTGCTTTAACTTTCATTTTCCAAGTCCTCAATCTTGCATGTTTCAACTTTATCTTATTGTGGCTGGGGCAGCCACATCCAACTCCCTCCATCTTTTCTCTATAAGCTTGTTGTATGCAGAGGCAACTGAGAATTTTCCATTTGCAGCCCACTCCCATTTAAGCTTATCAGGACAATGTGGATCAAGTCCCTCAAAATGGCCTCTGTTTCTTCTTCTGTAAACCAGTTTTCAATAAGGCTCCTGTTCCATCTCAGTCATGTTTCATTTATGAGGTCACATACTCTGATAAGAGATGGGTTTCTTGGCCTTTTCCCAACTGGTTTGTGGTTTGGCAGATTTGGTACCCAGGGGTGGTCCCATATATTCACTGATCTACCATCTTTTATCTGATACATTAGTCCCTGAATGAAACTATCCTTCATTTTCCACCATCCTGACCATAGCCATGAGCTATTTGTCTTAGCTTTTGCTGTGTAAATGCTGCCATGAGGGAAATATTTTCCCTTGAGAATTCTGCTGACTAGTAGCTGAGGTTGAGTGAGTGTCCTCCACAGTTGTTTGGAAATTAGTGCCTTGTTGAAGGTATGTAGGTCTTGGAAACCCAATCCTCCCAACTTTTTTGGTGTTGTGATTTGCTCCCAGCTCTTCCACTGAATGCATTTAGAGCCATTCTTTTTTGTGTTCCACCAAAAATTTGCAAACTGTAAGGAGATCATTTTGGTCACTGATTTGGGCAGGAGATAACAGGACATTGTGTAATTAGGCATAGCACTGAGCACTGCTTTCACCATGACTTCTTTACCTGCACAAGAAAGATAACTATTTGCCCAGTTGGAAATTTTCTTTTTGACAGCTTCTTCCACATAGGCGAATGTGGCATTTTTTGATCTTTCAATCCCAAAGGGGAGGCCGAGGTATTTAGAGGATGATTGAGGTGTAATGCCCATCGGCATTTGGCAGATTTGGTTTTGGAGTGGTTGAGGTGTATTTTTATTGAAAAAAATAGTGGATTTAGAGAGATTCACTTTTTGGCCAGTTATTGTTTGGTAATGGTTCAGGATGTGAGTGAGGGTTAGGGCTTGAGAGATATCAGCTTTGGTAAAAACAAGTGTGTCATCTGCAAAGAACAGATGTGTTAGGACAGGGCTATGTTTGCTTATCTTAATGCCTTGCAGATTACCTTTAACCACTTCTGAGTTAATGAGGTGTGTAAGAATCTCAGAGATCAAAATAAAAAGATAGGGTGACAAGGGGTCACCCTGTCTTATGCCTCTCGAGGGTTTGAGATAACCTGCAGTGTCACCATTCACATTGAAAGAGAATGAAGTAGAGGAAATACATTGTAAAATCCATCTGACAAACAAAGCATTAAAACCCAGCTTTAACATAATCAAGCTCACACTGTTCCATTCAACTCTATCGAAAGCTTTGCACATATCTAGTTTTAAGGCCATGGAGTAGTTTTTTCCAGATCTTTGACATTTTAAATAATGAATGACTTCATTGGCTATGATCACATTGTCTAGGATCTGTCTGTTATGAACAAAAGCTGACTGATTGTCGTTGATACAATAAGGGAGAGTGGTTTTGAGTCTGTTAGCAAGGATTTTTTATATGACTTTATAGCTTACATAGCAAAGACTTATAGGCCTAAACTGACTCACCAAATTAGGTTTAGCACATTTGGGGATAAGGGTAATGAGGGAGTGATTCATGCTTTTTAAGATGCGACCGGATTGAAAAAAACTATGTACAGATGAGCAAAGATCAGCACTAATTAAATTCCAGAATGAGTGGAAAAAAGCAGATGTCATACCGTCCGGGCCCGGGGCTTTAATGGGGTGAATGTTGAAAAGTGCCTCTTTAATTTCTTCCTCACACACTTGTGTCACCAACTCCCTGTTCATGCCCTCTGTGATGACTGCATTTATGTCATGACAAGTCTGTCATCTTGGCCACTTACTTCTGATGTGAACAGCTGGGAGAAAGAGTCTTTTATGCAGTGTGCAATTGCATCCTTGCTTTTGCAGATAGTGCCATCATCTCTGGTAAGCCTAAGAATTTGATTCAGCTTTGTTCTTTGCAATGTCTTAGCATGGAAGAATTTGGAATTCTTGTCCCCATGCTTCAACCAATTGATTCTCGATTTATGAGCCCAGTATTATTCCTCCAGTTTGTAAGCCTCGCTCATCAAGGTCCTTTTTCAATTGATCCCATTTAGTCCAGTCCCTTAAACCTCGCCTCGACTTGTCTTTCCGCTTTCAACTGTAACTTTGTTTTCTTGTTTGTAATTCAAATTGTACGAACTGAAAAACATCATATTCAATTTATAGGTTTCTCATTGTAATCAAAACATATATTGTAACAAATATATAGATAACATAATTTCATAATAGACTGATTAGATTGTAGGTTTACCTATTAAATGTATATTCTTGTCTATTTGAAATAATATTGAAAACTACAACATCAAGTTGCATCAATAATAGACAATTTTTCTATGGTGTAAAAGCTAAAAAAGTTCAATTTTTAGGCCCTTTTGATTAGCGCTAGCTTTGATCGTGATAAGAGCAGCTCCAACGTTGCTCTATTTCTCTCCTTTTGCGCTATTGTAGCGTTAAAATACTGTCCAACCCTGCGCCAATTGTCTGCGATACTTTGGAGATTGCAACAGTGTTGCGCCAGATGTGGCGCAACACTGTAGCATCTCTATATTTTTTTTATTTTTTATTTTTTGTAATGTAATATTAATGATAAATTTTTATATAATGTGTATTAGTAAATGTATTTTTTATGCTAAATAACTTTGTGTAATGTATATTTTATGCTAACTAATTTATAACTTTGTGTAACGTATTTTTTATACTAAACATATTTTTATTATTTGGGTAATAAACATTTATATAAGATTAAATATACATATATATACCAATTAATTTGAAATAAAAAATGAATAAAAAATAATATATTTGATGTAGAGTAAAATGTAGAGATAAGGGCTGGAGACGAATGTTTAACTCTATTTTAAAGTAGAGTAAAATCCGCGCTAGAGTAGAGTTAAAGGCTGGAGATGGTCTAACTGATCATACTAATTAAAAATCTAATAGTTAAAATGTTCACATGGTATCCGTCTAATCAAATGATTTCATTTTTTATTACAACCTTGTTGACAAAGACTAGGAACATACCGCGTGAATATAGTGATACTTATTATATGAATATTCTACAATAATTGGGCCTATAGTTAACCAATAATCCAAGCGTTGAAAATAAGGAACTCGCCACGGGAATATTAACATCTTTAAACATATTCAAACAACATATTATATATATTAGATGAATTCTAATGAGAATGATTGTTAATAATAATAATAATAATAATAATAATAATAATAATAATGTACTATAGTTATAGAATTTGATAATCCAACTGCCAAATAAGTCAAGACTATACATCAATGAAGAGTATTATTGAATATTATCTCTCTCGATCCTCTGTCGTCCTCTGCCGCCAGTAACCTCACCCTCCGGCCTTGATACCACCGACTCCGACATTGGCCAACCGTCTCTAAGACTCTGACAACGGTATCGGTGATTAAAAGAACTAGTTATCAAACCATGAATATCGACAACCTTAATCATACTTTTACATATATAAAAAAATTACATTTTACGGCTAATATAATATTTAATGTCTTTTATTCTAAGCGCGAGAAAAATTAGAAGGCAAAGAAAAGATGCTCTTTGTCCTCAGCGAAACTGCCATTCTTGGATTATTGTTTTTCTAATCAATGAACTATTCTGATTTATACACGATTACTTATATAT